TATATAACTGCCCATTGAAAAGCACAAGGACAGGGCCTCGATTCTTACAACACATAACAAACCCTCAATTATATAGTATTTCCATGCAATAAGTTCAAAACTTGCACTGAATACAGTGCAACTGCAGGCTCCTGGTGAGAGGCCCTCAAAACATCCAAAAATATTAAAGTTTTGGTCATCATCATGTGCTATCACTGACATGCTGGTCAGTGCTGTGGTCACCATTGTACTGCAATCACCTCGCTGAAAGATAAGATATGTAAGGAAATGGTGGCAACGATAACTTGCACTTCAAGGGAAGTGACTAAGCTGGCAATATGTTGAATGTCGTGAAGTGCAGAGTAAAAGAGACTAACGAATTCAGCATTCAATGACATGGCCACTGTGTATCTTGTTAGCAGTGAAGAAAGTATCACCACCAGCCCAGGCTGAGTGGCATGTGCATCAGTGTGATTTGCAATACCAAGCATAGATCCCCATTCTCTGCCTGTATTAGACCACTGCAGGACAAAGGCCTCTCCCAATGATCTCCAGTTTACCCTATCCCGTGCAAGCCCATTATATTTTATCCCCGCAAACTTCCGAATTTCATCACTCCATTCATTTCTGCCTTCCCCGACTGCATTTTCCATCGCTTGGTAACTAGTCTGTTGCTTAGTAGTAAATGCTATCGGGGCTTAGCTGACAGATGAGAACTGGGAGTGGGATTCCTTACTCACAGAAACATAGCTGGCAACATAGAGAAATACTATAGCATTAATAAAAGGGTGGTAGGTATCATAATTAAAACTCAATAAATGATACAAGATGAAGGTAGTACAGGCTTATGCGCCTACGTGCAGCCATGATGATGCATCACTTGAAAGCTTCTATGAAGACGTGGAATCAGCAATGAGTAAGGTAAAAACACAGTATACTACAGTGATGGGAGACTTCAATACAAAAGTAGAGAAGAAACAGGCTGGAGACCAGGCAGTAGGAGATTATGGCATCGGCACTAGAAATGCCAGATGGGAGCTACTAGTAGAATTTGCAGAACGCAATAATTTATAGATTTTGAATACCTTCTACCAAAAGCGAGGGAACTGCAAGTGGACATGGAGGAGCCCCTATTGGCGAAAATAAGAACGAAATAGACTTTACACTGAGTGCACACCCAGGCATCATGCAGGATGTGGAAGTGCTTGGCAAGGTACGATGCAGTGACCATAAAATGGTACGGTCCCGAATTTGCCTAGACTTGAAGAAGGAACGACAGAAACGGATACGTAAGAAGCCAATCAATGAGCTAGCACTGAGAGGGAAAGTATGAAAATTCAGTCTCGCTTCAGAACAGGTACTCGGCTCTTATCGAGGAAAACAGCCTTAGCATTGACGCAATGAATGATAATCTATCGAGTATCATTACGGAGTGTGCAGTGGAAGTTGGAGGTACTGTAGTTAGACAGGACACTGGCAAGCTGCCCCAGGAAACGAAGAATCTCATTAAGAAGCGCCAAAGCATGAAAGCCTCAAGTACAACAGACAAACTAGAGTTGGTAGAGCTTCAGAAGTTGATTAATAGGCATAAGGTATGCAATGTAAGAAGGTATAACGTAGAGAGAATTGAACACCCTCTGAAGAACGGAGGAAGCATCAAAGCAGTGAAGAGAAAACTTGGGATAGTCAAAAACCAGATGTATGCACTAAGGGACAAAGAACGCAAAGTAACTACCAATATGAATAGGATAGTAAAATTAGCAGAGGAGTTTAACAGAGATCTGTACAGTAGCCAGCACAACCACGACCTTAATATAAAAACTAGCAGTAACCCATATGACACCCCACCAGTACTGATAGAAGAAGTCAGAAAAGCCTTGGAGAGCATGCAAAGCAGCAAAGCTGCTGGTGAGGATCAGGTAACATCAGATCTGCTGAAACATGGAGGACAGATTGTGCTCGAAAAACTAGCGACCCTGTTTACGAGGTGTCTCCTTATGGGAAGAATACCAGAATTTTGGAAGAATGCTAACATCATCTTAATACATAAGAAAGCAGATGACAAGGACTTGAATAATTACAGGCCGATCAGCTTGCTCTCCATAGTATACAAGCTATTTACAAAGGTAATTGCTAACAGAATTAAGGCAACATTGGAATTAAATCAACCAAAGGAACAAGCAGGATTTCGAGCAGGCTACTCAACAATTGACCACATTCCTACTATCAATCAGGTAATAGAGAAATTCTCAGAATATAGCGAACCACTATACATAGCCTTCAAAGATTACGAGAAGGCATTTGACTCAGTAGAAATATCAGCAGTCATATGCCGACACTGCAGAATCAGGTCGTCGACGAAGCACATATAAACATCCTGGAATAAATCTACAGGGGATCAACTGCTACCATAGTGTTCCAAAAAGAAATCAACAGAATACAAATCCACAAGGGTGTAAAGCAAGGGGATACAAATACAATGTCTGCAATGCTATTTACCACAAGCTTACAGGAAGTTTTCAAAGGCCTAGAATGGGAACAGTTAGGCGTAAGAGTTAATGGAGAGTACCTTAGTAACCTGCGCTTCGCTGATGACATTGCATTGCTGAGTAACTCAGGGGGCGAGTTGCAACTCATGATAACGGAGTTAGGCAAGGAGAGCAGAAAGGAGAGTCTTAAAATTAATCTGCAGAAAACGAAAGTAATGTACAACAACCTCGGAAAGGAGCAGCGCTTCGAGGTAGGTAATGGTGCACTTCAAGTTGTAAAAGACTATGTCTACTTAGGGTAGGTAATAACCGCAGAGCCTAACCACGAGACTGAAGTAACTAGAAGAATAAGAATGGGGTGGAGTACATTCGGCAAGCACTCTCAAATTATGACAAGTAGATTGCCACTATCCCTCAAGAGGAAGGTATATAACAGCTGCATCTTGCCGGTACTTAGCTACGGAGCAGAAATCTGGAAACTTACAAAGAGGGTTCAGCTTAAATTGAGGACGACGCAGCGAGAAATGGAAAGAAAAATGGTAGGTGAAACCTTAAGAGACAAAAAGAGAGCAGAGTGGATTAGGGAACAAACCGGGGTTAAGGATATAATAGTTGAATTCAAGAAGAGGAAATGGACATGGGCCGGGCATGTACCATGTAGACAGGATGACCACTGGTCGTTAAGGGTAACTAACTGGATTCCTAGAGAAGGCAAGCACGTTAGGGGGAGACAGAAGGTTAGGTGGGCAGATGAGATTAAGAAGTTTGCGGGTATAAATTGGCAGCAGCAAGCACAGGACCGAGTTGACTGGTGGAACATGGGAGAGGCCTTTGTCCTGCAGTGGATGTAGTCAGGCTGATGATGATGATGATGAAATGCTTGGTAGTAAATGATCCTCCTTATACCAAGCATACACTGCTTCTAATTTCATAGTTCAACAAGATTCCCTTGATGGTACGCGCAACAGAACAAAGCTGTGCTAATTGTGAGCATTTTGAATTGGTCACATTAATGCACAATATTATTGATGATTTGCTGTGAATTCAATGAATTCTGGCAACACACTATTTCAATAATGTCCCAAATTTTTTTAGCTTGATTATGAACTCTTTGGTTACCGCAGAATAAATAGGCAGTTTTCAGAGGTTACACTAGATATTTTTAGCAGAAGGAACTACCACACCTAATATTTTATAGTTGACACTTGCGAGGCGCTGTTTGAACATAAAGAACACAAAAAGTAAAGGTGGGACACTCACGAGTGCAAACTAACAACTGTTTACTTGTGAACACATTACAAATATATACGAGTGTTCTTCGCGTTCAAACAGCACGTCGCAAGTGTCAACTATGCACAACCAACCGGCCCCTACGCTGGCCCTCCTAGTTAATTGTTTATGCAAGACATAAAATAAAAAAAAGAATGAATGAACTTTTCATGCATACAAGTTTCATTTACAAGGTGTATGCTTTGCCAGTGATATAAATTTACGAAGTGAAGAATGTGAAACAAAACCGAATAGAGTTTGTAGAGACACATTGCTATCTACTAATAAGAGAATATAACAGAAATTATAATATATACAACATGTGCTGCTATCTAAAAAGGACTTCCCCTACAAAAGTTTTACTGTAAGCAGTACAATAAATGTACCATGTGCCAGCAGCTCCTCGATGTGAAGCATAATGTAATGTTGTATATATTGCAGTAAACTATTTGTTTTGAACTTCGTTTTGTAGGCACACTTGTATATCATAAAATTGCTACTAAAACGCACACTCAGACAGCCTGAAATGCAAAGCAAAACTCACTGATGTTGCGGGCTGGTTTTATATGTTCTAGGAGTCAAAGTCTGACTAAAATTCAGCATGCTAAGACTCACTGCAGCTTGTTAAAATGATAAAATCAGCCGCAAACACCCTGAAATGCTTATACCTGCGGTCTTTCGATGCCTGCACGCACTGCATACAGTGCTGGCCATGTTCACTTTCCACTTAGATGGTCACGCAACTTCGAGGAATGTTAAAGAATGAAAACCATGAGAACAAAAAATAAACTACATGAAAAGAAAAATACAGCAGTCAGTTCTCCTTTATGACGGACAGCTCACCGGGTCTGTGAATGGTACGGAATGTTTCAAATTCAGAAATTCAAACAGTCCATAGAGGGCTATCAATGCCCTATGGGTGCAGCATGGAAAGAGTTATTTTGAACAGTAAAGATTTCAGGACCAAGCCGTGTATGTATATTATGCCTTCTTTTTTAAGTTATGAGAGAAAGCAGCCCATATGTTGTTGAATAAACCACACTAGTTATGAGAGAAGCAGCTTTCATGTTATGGAAGAAACCACACTAACACATTATTTAGCAAACTATCTTTATACAGAAAAGTTTATACAGGTAAACAGCACACCAATGCTGTACATTTGGCAATATTGCCTACTGAGTCACAAAGTGAACTTTTCAGAGTAAAACTTCACTTTTTAGCAGAAGTCCGGAATAAGTAGCAGTGTCAGCAGGAGGTCACTTTGATGCTTACATTACTTACATAATGCTCCAGCTGTTGTCCCATATACCAGGGCAACTTATGCAGCATTGTTTTAGGTTTAGTAGCTACAGTACTTGCTGTCAGACATGGCTGAAGAGCGTTGCAATGGAAATGGAGCCATCAGCTGATGCAGTAGCACAAGTGCTGCAGTCCACGGCAGGTGACCAATCCACAGTAACAACATGACTCTTATGGCTACCGACAGAAAGGACATTGGTAAAGCTGCCATTTTCTTCCTGCGTGTAAGTGAAAAACAAAATGTCGTTATTAATGTACACTGCCAATCATATGACACACAATCAAATCTAACCATGACCACATTTTTCATAATATTTGTTTATACACAGAGTTATGGAGTTATTCGTGTCTACTTTCAGGCATTACCAACTACAAGCTGGTAATGCCAAGGCACTGAACTTACAGAGTGTCCTCACCAGGCCAAATTTCCAATTTTAATGCCACAGTGAAAGTTGTAAAGCAAGGGAGGGCTTAACTGAAATAATATTTCAGATCGCTCCATTACTTAACTAGTTAGAAGAAATTAAACTGTCTTACTACCATGTAACTAGGAGGTGAGTTTCGCAGCTAAAGCAAACAGCTTTGCTTCAGCTAGCATCCACAAACCATGCACACTCCTGTGTTCTCCCAACTGCTGTAGGCTAGGAAGCGCATTATGTACACGTAACAAGTCCCACTCCCTCTTTCAGTCAGTTCCTCTTCTGCGACATGTTGCATTTATCGTGGAGGCATTGCATACTTCTTTTAGGCATGTGCGAATATTCAAATAAATACTATTCTATTTGAATTCACTTTGATTCAAACTTAATTGGTTGAAAATTTTGAATTATTCGAAATGAACGAATTGGTGTATAGTAGCTTGCATAACCATCTGTAAAGGTGTTTTCACAGCAGTGGAGAAGTGCTAAGCCCTGACAGCACCTATTCAAGTGTATATTAATCCGCACATAACCCCTTATAAAAGTGCTTTCACCTCCAGCAGAGGAGTGCTAAATCATGAAAACACCTCATCAGGGAAAACTCGCAATCCCGCGAAGCCCTACTTCAAGGTTAAATGAACATATTGCCCTCTTTAAGTATAAAAGCTTGTTGTACTGGCTCATATGCTTCAAGTAATATAAATTTTAAAATGTATCATATTTTAGTTGTTATACTGAAAGTTGAATCCTGCTACTATTCAAAGTTGTTTCCACTTCCTTTGAATCAAGAAGAATGGTATTTGCACAAGCTGCACAGGCCTTGTTTCAATAAAAAAATATTGTGCCAGTTAGCAGGGTCCTGACAAATATGCCAATTTTTTAAAATCATATGTGATATATGCTACTCGAATTTGATTCTAAATTATTCAACCAAAACTGCTCTTAGCTTCGAACCTAACATTTACTATTCGTACAAGCCTACTTCTTTTATATTTGTTTGTGCACCTGCTCTTCTCTTTGCTCTACTTTCGATCTTTATTTCCCCTCTTCTCTCCTCTTGTGGAGGGTAGCAAAGTGAATAATATTTTTTTGGTTGGCCTTCCTGCCTTTTTTTTTTTAAACTACCTCTCTTTTTCTTCACACTGGAAAAAGAACCAAATTCATGGGCTGTGGTCAGTGACATGCCAAGGAACACCTGTTATGTCAACATGCTTGTGCGTAACTTTTATTCCCTCTGCAAGCATGAGTCTCTAAAAAAAGTAATAGATAATCAAGTAAAAAAATGAGTGCAGCCTCATTTTAAATTTTGACAATTTTTGCAGTGTGCACACATTTCCTAGTTTGCAGAATCAATAGTCGCTAACTAATCTATGCAAGGCATTTGTCTATTTTCAGTGCCCAAACCCCTTAGCCCTTTCGCAACTGTCATGCCAAAATCACCTAAACTTTTTTTTCCACTCAATTTATAGAGCTTTCTTTTTTCTGAATGAAATGGCACTATTCTTTCAATTCAATATTCACTAATCACACAAAAAGAATATATATATATATATATATATATATATATATATATATATATATATATATATATATATATGTGGGTGATTCCATGTGAGATCAAACAAAGCATTGCTGGTCGACCTCTTGAATTTATTTTAAAATTTCATATTTTGTTGCTTGATGAGTGGAGACAAGAGATCCGCAATTATAGTTTTGCTGGAAAAAATTTTTTCAAAGCACAGGAAATCAATAATGATGAAGAGGTGGCGTGCCAGACTCACCTCTGTTATTCTTTCTAGCTTTGGCAATTAATTACACAAAATATATTAAAGCTGCACACCTCACATTTGTTCTAATGAATATTTGCCTATTCTAGCTTGCGTTGGGTTATTTTACTCTTTTCTGGGTAGTACAGATATTGTTATGATAAATCTCAAATTAGACCCAGAAAATGTCATCTTGCCTACTTTGCACGCCTTTATTTATGGACCGCTAGCCTTTTAAGAAACTGAAGTATAGGCCTGCATTCCATACACTTTAACAGGCAAGAAGACCAATCTGCAATTGCCTATCTTTGCGCAGGGGCATTATTCAATCGGCCGTAACTGCTAGAGAAACCACATTCTGCAACATGTTTTTATTGATTGTGAAGACTGATGTGCAAGAGAATAAGTGGAGAAAGCTTAAAAAACATCAGATATGAAATTTTTTTAATCATGGTCAAAATTTTTATTTGTTTGCCATTTTCTTAAAGTTAGCGCATTTATATCTTTTTATTGAAAAGTTGATTGATTTATATGTGGAGTTTAACATCCCAAAATCACCATATGATTATGAGAAACGCCATAGTGGAGGGCTCTGGAAATTTCGACCATCTAGGATTCTTTAGTGTGCACCCAAATTTGAGCACACTGGCCTACAGCATTTTCGCCTCCATCGAAAATACAGCCGCCGCAGCCGAGATTCAGTTCTGCGACCTGCAGCAGCTGAGTAGTTTAGCCACTAGACCACTGCGGTGGGGCCTTTATGGAAAAGTGTAATTAATCTGGGCTCAAGAAGTTTTATAGATAAGCATGCTGAGAACGCAAGGTGGGATTTCCGGTGCTCTGTCGCATGCCCTTCTTGAAATAAAAGCCTGCAAAGTAGGCAAAAAAACGTTTTCTGAGTTAATTTTGAGTTTTTTTTTTTTCTTTAAATATGTACACTACCTAGAGAAGCTAGAAATAACTGAACGCAAGCGAAAACATGCATACACTTAGCTAAACGAATTTGAGGTACGTAGCTTTAATATATTTTGTGTAATTCATCGCCAAGGTGGGAAAAAATAGCAGAGATGGCAAGCGTGGCACTCCACCTCTTCGTCATGACTGATTTACTGTGCTTCAAAAAAAATTTTTCCAGCAAAACTAATTGCAGATGTCTTTTTTCCACTCAGCCAAGCAACAATATATAAAATTTCAAAATAAATTTAGGAGGTTGACCAGCCATGCTTTGTGCAATTTTACATGAAATCACCCACATATAAATCAAAAGTGGCTTTACTGCAGGGCAATACAATAAAAATGGCAATTAAATAAAAGGCGAGACACTAATGTTCCAACATTGACAAAAGTAGCAATCTAGAATCGAGAAACCAGTATGTTTTTGAGTTGGTTCTGAGTAGGACCAATACTTGTTGATGGTGAGTATAGATGTCCTTGGACATATTTTTTTTACAAAATCTCATGACAACTACATTATTCGTCAATGGCCATGAAAGGGTTAAATAGCTCATGCCCTAATGTCTTGTTTGTGAATCAAATAGCAAAGCATGATCTATGAGCTGTTACATAAGCAGTTGAGAAAAAAGAACTGATGAACCTATCATATGCATGTTTGACAATACTTGGCATAGGATATACAAACACACACACAACACGAAAATGGCTGTCCCATGTTTGTTTCTTTTCCAGTGCATTAGATGTGCTTGTGAATGTGTACATGCATGTGCATGCACTTGAACTACTTCATTACTACGTAAAGCTTACATGTAACTCATTCTTACAGTTACCAAGCTCTATTGAAAGTAGGAGGAAAACATGAAAAACTCAGCAAAAAGTTTCTCTGCCTAGCTAATAGCAGCTTAAAGCCTTACCATCACCACAATCACATTCTTTGTTCACTACAGGACAGATGCCTCTCCCGAATGAACTCTAAAACTCTCCACAAAACATAACTAATCTCCAACCAACAATTGCTTATGGTACAAACAAATATTTCAGCACATAAATTAGTGGTGTACAGGGCAGACGCATTTAAAGAAGAAAAGAAAGTGCTCAGGGTCATCATGAAGCACGCTGCCATGATTCTAGCACGCCGCCATGACCGGGATGGAACTTGTGTCTTTTGGGTAATAAGTCGAGCCCTCTAATTTTGAGCCACAGCAGTGGTACAAGGATACATCATTGAAGCCTGCCATAGTGGAAGATTACAAATTAATTTTGATCATCTGGTTTTGATTGATTGATTGATATGTGTGGTTGAACGTCCCAAAACCACCATATGATTATGAGAGACGGCGTAGTGGAGGGCTCCGGAAATTTCGACCACCTGGGGTTCTTTAACGTGCACCCAAATCTGAGCACACGGGCCTACGATATTTCCGCCTCCATTGAAAATGCAGCCGCCGCAGCCGGGATTCGATCCCGTGACCTGCGGGTCACCAGCAGAGTACCTTAGCCACTAGACCACCGCGGCGGGGCGATCAACTGGTTTTCTTTAAGGTTCACTAATTTTATGGTGCTGGCACAGAGCAACATTATGTTCCTTGTTTGGTGACTTCCAGTTCACTTCTTGTCAAATGAAAGCTGAGATTTCCTGCGCTCGTCTAAAAATTTCACATTAAGTAAAGGTCATATGAAAATGAGTTAATGGTTCAGTACATATATGATATCAAAGCATAAGCTTAGTAAAAGTAAGAGCAAATTAGCTCTCAGAATAATTAATCAAAACTAACTGAATAGTGATAGATATGCCTTGAAGATACAGAAATGGATTGATTGGCTCTTCATATATGAACAGAGATAATGAACACTTGGTGGATACGTAATATCGAAGTGTAGGGCTACATTGCACACAGTTATTAATTAACATTAATTAATAGTCTAATTATACTGTCCGAGGCCCAAAGCATGGCTCCCAATGAAGGGAGGATGTCATTTGTGGCGTTCGCACGTCTCCAACACTTGACTCATCAATTACTACAAACTAGTGCGGTGGTTCTCAAATGGGAGCTTGCAGACCCCTGGAGGTCCGTGAAGATAATTCTGGAAGCCCATGAAACCCATCCCCGAAGGGAAAAAATATGCATTTTCTTGGAGGAACACTGTCTCCTGACCGCAGCTCCTTCTGAATTTTCGCATGCCTCACCACTTAAGTGTTGCCATTTTCCTTTCAAGATCCGCCGCTGCAAAAGAACTTTGTGTGCTAGCCTGTCATCTTACATCGAACTTGTGGAATTCATTGATGTTTACAAGTGCGCGGCTGCATTCCTTAGACCCTGATTTGCAACTATGTTTCCTGTCTGGCCTATCACGATGTGACACTATCCCGCCGTTTCATCTGTGGCTTAGTCACCATCTCGAATGCCCATTCATTTATTATTGATATGGTAGATAGCTCATCACGTGAAGTCTGCGAAACAATGGTGCGCCTTCTCTAGGAGTGCACCCACTTCAACTCGAAAAAAGCGCTCCTTTCATCGGCACTTGGCAAGCTGGACCACTGCCCTGACACAGAGAAGGAAAATCCTAAGGCTCTGGCCTACCCTGTCTTCAACACGAGCCACTTTCAGTACATTGTTGCAGTTTCTTCAAGCAAACAAGCTAAAAAAACTGTGACTGTATGCAGACGATATTGCTCTGTAATACTTGGACGATGCTACAGTTGTGACTTAGTTTTGTTTGCCTACTGTTACAAACTCTTGTTCTCTTTCATTCTTTTACATCCCATTACCTCTTCCCAAGTACAGGGTAGCAAACTAAAGACTTCGGCTGGCAAACCTTCTTGTCTTTTCTTTATCATTCGCTTGCTCTTTCTCACTACATAACATTCTTGCACTGTGGCGTAGCTGACTAGTTTCCTCTTCTCTATGAGATGGCTGCTTTTGTTGCAGTTTTCAACGACATATGGCCGCAGGCATACTTTTTTTAGGCCTGCATAGTTGAAGAACAAATGTAGCTAGAAACATGTTGAATGTAGCTGCAGACCACACAACTTATCGACAAGCTGTTGATATCTAAATGACATGGCACTTTAGTTTGACCACTCTTTATCAAGAAGAAATTAAAGGCTATAGTAGTCTACCTAGACGAAACTAAGCAGTGTGTGACTGATTACGTGAGGGAGCATGATCAGATAAACAAAAACAATAATGACCTGACAAAAATGCTAGCTATGCAAAATTTTTTTAGAGATGTCGATTCTTAGAAAAACAAAGATTGGACAAGAACACATACATGTAAGTATATCATATTAAGAAAAAAAAGAATTGCCTATTTGATATAAGACCCATATTGTTGCATAGCTCAATTGCATCCTTTCACCATTGCCCAATTGAATTATGTTGCATGATTCACTTCTTATGATTCGTCAATAATCTTGGTAGTTAGAAATAATAATGTTTGCGTATCCTTGTGTGGTGATGCGTGTGTGTACCGAGTTCTTTTAGCAGTAGTAATGCCTGTTTTCTTTTTAACAAAAGTTTCTTTAATTGCAAAAGGAAATACATATGCATTTCTTTTGTAATGACTAGCCATTTGCAGGCAGATGACACTTTTTCCTTTTCAGGCCATGCTAAACAAAAATACAAATGCTAGCCCAAAGGGATGCCCTTGTTGTTTAGCAGAATTGGCAGATATGTACATAAAAAACATACATACTATATAAGCTACATAGTAAGAAATGCTAGTGAAAGCCGCTCAAGTCAGCGTTTCAATGTGATAATTATGCTGTCACTAACCTTGTATACGATTCCAGAAGTAGGTGCACATGTTAAGATATGCTCACTATCAGCACCTAGTGAAAAAAGTTTCCCCACAGGTCGGAATCCTGGTGGTCCCATACAGCCAGCATGTAGAGGAAAATCGGACACCTTCTGCCCTGTTTTGTACACATTCCACTGCCTCAGCTGAAAAGGAAGAAGTGAAAACTGAGAACCTGGCAAGGTTGACTCGCTCAAGTGCAATTAGGTTCAAGAGATCCAGGGCAGGCAAAATTAAATACTAGATGCCTGTCAAGTAGCTAACAATAGTTTATTACTTTTTCGAAAGGGCTGAGAACTTCATTAAAGGGACACTGAATAATAGTCCCTAGTGCTTTATGTGCCAAAACCAAGATATTATTTAAGGGGGGACGTGGCAATGAAAGTAGCAAATTTGGTTAAAATGTTCAATTTCTCAATTAACTTTTTTTCTGCAATTCTGAGACCATATTTTACATCATGGTGAAATATTAGACCACAATAAGCAGTAAAAGTTGAGAAAACTCATCTTACTAGTGTGCTGTCATCAAAAACGATGAGAAAATTCGGCTTTACAAAATGCAAATCTGCAGCTTTCCCTTGGCACAATGTCACGATGTCACCAGATTGGCACCATCGTAAAGAGCACAAATCAGAGCTCAAGATAGCCACAGAGCTGCATTTCTCCAATGAAAAATAAAACGTGCACATAATGTGCACAGGTTTTATTGATTGATATGAGGGGTGTAATGTCCCAAAACCACATTATGATTATGAGAGTTGCCGTAGTGGAGGGCTCTAGAAATTTCGACCACCTGGGGTTCTTTAACGTGCACCCAAATCTAAGCACATGGGCCTACAACATTTCCACCTCCATCGGAAATGCAGCCGCCGCAGCCGGGATTCGATCCCGCGACCTGCGGGTAATGTGCACAGGTATTTTTGCATTTCACCCCCAATAAACACGGATGCTATGGCCGGGAACTAAACATGCATCCTCATGCTTAGCAGTGTCACAGAGGCAAGCATTAGCTTTTGCTCTTGTGATAACTTAACAAAGTAAAGAGCACTTGATTGCTCCTCGCACTGCACAACTTTAAGATAATCAATCCAAGAGAACATTCGAGCAACAGCAGAACCATCACTGAAATTTTTCACATAGTGCTTGCAATAACTACTTCTTAAAAAAAAATATTCATGTGCACTCCACTTACATACTACCAAGAACATTACCAAGTGTATTTCATTTTGTTACTGCATAACTGCACTATTGGTTTCATGGGCATGGCCAGAAAATTATTTCATAAGGGCAAGGAGGTATGAACTTCCCTCACTTTTTTCATTTTTATATTGAACTTAATTAGCTAACTAACCATGACCAATTATGCAATATGTTTAATATTGACTAAAGTGCCAAGTGCACTTTGTGACATTGCAGAGGGCAGTCCAAAACGGCTGATTAAATTTTTTGTGGTAATAGACATGTTGCTTGGCAATTTTATTTGGCATCTGAAGAAAGCCCACAAGTGTTGGTGGTGGAGGTATGTAAGAGAAAGGGTTTAAAGTACGTTTAGCGTGAAAACAAGGGCATGCAACGATGTGCAAAAAGATGAAATAGAACAGCACGAAAAAACGTAGACACAGCAGTAGCAACATATAAAAAAAGGGACAAGCACCGATTTCATTTACACTTCTTTATACAAGAATACCAACTCGCCCAACTTTCCATCCTAGTGCAAACTTAGGTTCAAAAGAAAAACAGAAAGGAAGGTGACCGCTGTGCCTGAAATAGGTACAAGATGTATAAAGCAGAAAGAAAGAAAAACAAGAGTACTAAAACATAAAGTAGCCAAGAGTGGAAGATACCCAAGAGGGGAGAGAACAAGATGGAGGGAAGAGGTAAGAACACTCAAGGGCAAGGAATGCTGAGGCTGCAAGACAGGAACAGCTGGAGGAAATTGAGATAGGTCATCATCCTGCAGTTGGCACAATATGATTGTTTACAATGATTGAGCATAAACACGAAAAATTATCTTCAGAAATTTCATGTGGTACATACAATGCCTTCAGCTCCTATTGAGAAGCATGTGGCTTCATCTCCGCTGAATTGCACTGAAAAGACTTCAAGCTCATGGGCTGGCCAGTTTGCAATGCATTCATGAGTTCTGACATCTGAAAGAAAATGAGAGAAGGCAATGAAGAAACTTTAGCTCCAAAAGAAAGAACACCCTAAGAAACCAAAGAGCTCGTTGTTATTAGGTGCCAATGAAATAAAACTCCTGGTGACACGAATGAATGCCATTGAGATCTATTGAATAGAAGTTCTTTTAGCTCTCCTAGATGTTTCCCTGTGACTATATAACCATCTTCTGCACAGGTGGCATCATTTTCTTCTCTTACCTTTTGAATAATTCAATAGCATAAGCAACACCAAAAGTGTCCATCTAGTCTTGAGGAAGACAAGTCTGCTTGTTGAAACGTCCGCTCGACACAACCCTCGTTTATTAACTTTTCTTTGCCATTGATATTTTTTGAAGATAACTTTCTAACATGCTTGGCATCTCACAAAACTTACACCATGCTTTTTATTGAAAAATAATGCCAATAGTAAGTTATTGGTTGCTATTATGAGTAAAGAAGCACAGTGTGTGTATGTTCTTAATTTTTTTTGCAACATATTTAAATTTAGCCAAGTAGGTAGTATAGAAGCGATGCCGCCCCTTTTATTGATCATCTGTAAGAATGTATGAAAGCCTGTGAGAATGCTCAAAAACATCTAAAACAGCTATTTGTAAAGTTTCCTCTCACATGGCTGTTTCAAACACTGTGGAAAAATTGATCAATATTCTTAAAATGACATTACCATAAATGTGCACATGGGGGGGAGGGGAGTGAGATGGAGCAGAGGGGCAACCGCTTTCCATAACTTCTTAAGGGGACCCTTAAGGGGACCACAGACCTTTACGCAGACAGATCTGTGCTGTCATTCAACACAAGTTTTTGACGATAATCATGGCTGAAATCATCTGACATTGCGCTCAACGAATTGCTCCCTTCTTGCCTTTACCCCTGGAAAGCCAAGGAATAAAAGGGGGTTGTAGTGAAAATGAAAAGCACTACATCATTTTCATTTTTGTACTTATCGTGAAGCTTATTCGGGAAGGGGAGGATGCAATAAAACTTGTACCCCCCCATTGCACACTTCAGTTCAGAATCCTGAGCACGCCTATGAGCTTTACTATGTGTGCCACAGCTACAGTGCTCATAAGGATGTTTCCAGGCTCTCTGCAGACAGGATATAGAGCGGTGACAAGGTTGAACAGAATTTTGAAGCAAGATGCATCATTTTGTAGATCGTATGCATCCCTCCCATCTAGAACGAAGGCAGTTCTGGAAGCAAATGGCGATGTGACTAGTTATTGAGCAGCGTGTGGTGAGTATAATTTTGTTTTTCCACAGACAATTTTTCACAGCTGATTTGTTTAATAAAAACTAGTTGCCACCACCAAACCATGGCAGTCCCCTTCTGTGACATTTGATAGTGCTGTGCAATGTCTCCATCTGCGTCGCGTCGTCTACTAGACGTCCCCACAATATCTGCACACAGACAAGTAAAGCGAGCAGATGGCAGCTTCAAAAAAGTCCACATATCAACTTCGGTGGATGCAGTTTCCTTTCACCTCGAATTTAACACCTCATCGTCCTGCACTGTGTAGCTCGTAAGGTCAAAAGCTACACATTTATTTGCTGTATATTTATATCTTGAAGCTTCGAGAGCAATGTATTCGGCGGTAATTTGCAATGTTTCCAAGATTCATTCTCAAATTCTCGGAGGCAAGGTATTCCAGGCGTGGCTAATAAAATAACGCTGATCTCAGTAATAAAGACAGAACATACCTGATGCTTTGTCCCCAGCATGAGATGACATAAAGTGATAGCCAATTGTGCCATTTATTTATTGCTCTTCAGACAATGGGCAAACTGCAAGCTTGATTTCGGATCGAAGCGGGCGGTCACGAGTGCATAGATGTTGCTATGTTGGCTTGTAGCCTCAGCTACTGGCAGTTGCTAATACAACAATCAAAGGCATATGCCATAAAACAAAGTATATTGAACATATGACTTATTGCTGATGCATAATACGTGTCAAGCAAATCAAAATGTTGAAACGTTATGAACTTAGGGGCAATTGCATGTCGAACTATGTTTTGCTGTGCAAGAATATCACTTGCGTACCCCCTGCTGCAAACATGCAGTGCGGTACCATCACAGTCGCTTCGCTGGTCTAATGCGTTGGCTGGGGCAATTGGCTTGGGGAAAGTTAGAAAAGTGCAATGTAGGGTAAAATTTGGAAAAATATCACTTTTTGTTTTCTTTGCAATTTGGGAAGGGCGTTCCTTTGTTCATATTTTTCCCATTCATCGCTATTTTTTGTGGCTCAAAAGCAGTTTTTCCAAAAGCAAGTAGCGAGTCGAAACACACCCTTGCGCAAGCCCCTTGTATGCGCTCTGTGCTTACGGTCTATTAAAAAAAAAAAATGTCACGTACAAAAGTCAAAATCCTTGTCTAGACGATAGTTACAGCGCGAGAAGAGAACGACGACAAAGAGACAAGAAGTTCTTGTCTCTTTGTTGTCATTCTCTTCTCGCACTAAAACTATCCTCATGTCATACCAACTAGCCCAAACTGCCACGCTTGTCTATGGTCAGCTGTGCAAAGAAAATTGTCAGGTAACTTCTAAATCAGTCTAAACACACTGTGACCTTTTTACAGTATTCACACTTCGTCTTCGAAATGCATGGGTTCAGACACTTTCAGCTATTACCTTCATTATGCTTTGTGTTAGTCTTGCTTGTCGGAAAGTTTATTTGCTGTGGGTAAGAAGGACTTCAAGAAGTGTTGATTTCGCGGCAACCCATACAGTTCTCTTGTAAATGTCAATAAATGCCAGTGACATACTGAGGCGCTGAACGTTGAACTAGCAAGCTCTTCATTGTTGAACATCTCAGCCTTTCAGTATGCTTCGAAGCGAATCATGTGCATGATGACAACGGGTATGTTCTGATAGACAAGACCATCATTTGTGATGAAATCAGACCGAATAGCACCTAAGAATGGCCTCATGTAAGTTTTGAGTTAATGTGAATTGAGTCGTAGAGTCTTCGCTGTCTTTGTTTAGGTTCATTCTTCAGGATTGCAACACTGGATATTGTTCTTGCATATAACGACGGTAGCATCACTCGAGCCAAAATTCTGAAATATTTAGGATTGTAGCCTGGCCAAACAATAGTTACTTTGCTGAAGAATGCCGACCCCACTCGACGATATTATTGCGCAAAGAGCTGCATGACAGCTCACAAAAGAAGGAAAGCAAGCATTACGAGAGGCTTCAAAGTGATAAACTGAATTTTGCCATGATTACCAAACTGGTATCTACTAAACAAAATAGTAGAACAGTGTTTGTTAGAAAGTTTGATCGCTTTTCAGCCATTTTCTAACTTAAAACTTGATTATCTCAAGACCATGTTTTTATTACAGTAAAAGCTCGTTTATCCGGACCTCGTTAACTCGGAAATTCGGTCTACTCGGACTCACGGCGCGGTCCCGGCAAAACTGTGTATATTTCAATGAGGTCAAATGCTCCTTAATTCGGAGGGATTTAGCTGCACACCGGTTATCGGACAACTCCAAGAGGGCTATCGGGACTCCAGAGTCGCGCGATCTCGGCGGCTTGGAGGCTCAAGCACCGCTTGCCATAACCGACGGCAGAACCGGAGTTTCAAAGAAACTGAAACCGAGCGCACTGCAGCAGCAGAATATGACGATGATGATAGTGAATTAGGGGGAAGTGGCAAGGTGGCACTAGTCACCACCCGGCAGAAGCGCTTGGGCCACCGGCGCATCCAGTGTCTACTAACAGCTGCTCGCTACTCCCATGCTATGCCTGCCTACTGGTGTACTACTTCGTGTCTTTTGTGTTGTGACTTCGCATGTTGCGGCTGTGTTTGTGCGCGTTGTCACTGCCGTCGCGCTTCCTGGCGACCGTCACAGGAGTTAAGCGGCCACAGTAGCCAGCAAATTATCTTGAAAGAAGGGTTATGATATTGAAAGACGTGATGAGCCGACGCGATGTCACCGCACCATGCAGGAGGCCGCCGAAGCCCTCGCTGTCATCGAGGAGTTTCGCGTTTGTTCTCACGACAGTAAACGTGCGCACCACCACCTGATGGGATTAAATAAAATCGTTCTGTCAGAAATTCCAACGGCGAGGCAGGCAAAAGTAGCGCACTTTTTTAAGAAATAAAGGTTTGTCTGTGCCGTGTACGTTTTCCTTTTGTTTTCAAGGTCCGTTCGATAATTCGTAATTTGGTTAACTTAGACATTCTCTCCGGTCCCGTGAGATCCGAGTTAACGAGCTTTTACTGTACTTAGGTACCATTATTTCCTACGTGTTTCAATATAACCTGTTGATTGTTTTTTCTTGTACTCTGCATAATTACATATTGCTACAGAAACAGAATTGAAATTACGCACTTCACAGTTCTTGTGTTACAAATTTTCATAGATGCGAATAAACCCAAAAGTTAGGTCCTAGTGGTAAAAAATTCAAGAATATGCTAATATTAGCCAGATTTAAATATATCTGCATTATATAAAGAACCAGAAAATTTGGAAGAATATTACGTATAGTTTATGTGAATATCCTCTTTAATCACTGAAAAAACAATACCTCAAAATGACCAGCCATGGGTTGTATAGGGCCTACATGGTGCCCTTAGGGCTAGTCACTATCACGTGATCAAACATGGCAGTGCCCGTGCATCGCTGTAGAAAATTGTTTATAGTACGAAAAGATGATGGGAGTTCTTTTTAAACATACCGTAATTACTCGAATCTAATGCGCACCTTTTTTCTGGTTAAGCAAGTTCATGAATTGCATACGCGTTAGAATTGAGTACAAAAAAAAAAACTGAATACGGTCATTCTATTGCCATCGGCATATCCAAAATGGCTACCCCCTACGTGCGTCGGCATAGCACGTCTGCTACTTCTGCCTACATGTTTCCCATGTGCGGCACTTCGTACGTGCGCTGAGGAGTTCGTCATCTTGTAGTGCATTCGCATCGACAGCATGGAAGGACCGACTCCAAAAACTGGAGTGCACCACGATGCCGCTTTTAAAAGAAAAGTCATCCCTGTGTAGAAACGGGCGGAAATGGGCCGCATCGCAGTCGTTCGGAGTTACCGAAACGTGCTTGCGGGACTGGCGGAAACAAAAGCAGAAGATTGTCGACAGCAAAGCTTCACGCAAAGGCTTCAGTGGACCACAGCAGGGTTGGTTTCCGCAAATTGAAGAACTGCTCGGCGAGTATGTGCTTGAGCAGCGAGCGGCACAGCAGCCCGTGACGACAGAACTGCTCCAAGTGCGGGCTATGCAGTTAGCCTTAGAATAGAAAAAGGGCTAATGCGGAGCCAGTTTAAAGCGAGCAGGTGCTGGCTAACTAACTTTATGAAGAGGAAAAGCTCTCCCCTCCGAAGGCGAACGGGCATATGCGAAAAGTTTCGAGAGGAGTACGATGAAAAGCTTCACAGTTTTCAGAGGTTCGTCCTAAACTTGCGGCACAACAACGGCTATCTGCTTGGGCAAATCGGGAATGCCGATCAGACGCCTCTTTACTTGGACATGTCTAGCACCACAACCGTCGAGAAGAAGGGGGTGAAGCATGTTTGCGTGCTGACATCGGTCCACGGTAAAACTGCAGTGACGGCAATGCTCTGTTACACGTCAGATGGGCACAAGCTTCCCCAGTACCTCATATTTAAATGGAAGACGCTCCCGAAAGGAGTCGTTTTTTCGAGTGGTGTGATCGTGCGGGCCAACGAGAAAAATGGGTGCGCGTTGCAAAAGATGTCTTACTTTTTTTTTTTTTTTCGTACTCGAAACCGGGTGCGCGTTACAATCGAGGGTGCAGTATAATCGAGTAAATACGGTAGTAATGAAGCTATATGTCAGTAGCTTTTTAATATTTTTGGCCTCTGACATGAGAAAAGCACATTCAAAGATAATTTCACAACAAAAAAAAAACGAAAATACTTGACAATGCAGACAGTAATTGCACCTTTATAAACAGGATTTCTCACCAAAAAGACATATATTGCCTCCTGATGTGCCACATAGTAGTAGTTGACCATTGTGGCTGAATACACAGCAATTCACTGATGAGCTGCATTTAAGGTGCCCCTGTAAAAATGCAAGCATGACATATGCAACTAATGAGCATTATGCAGGAATATGCATACACAATGAATTATTTGCCACACGTTAATAGAGTTATTTAGGGAAACCTCATTAAATTGGACTGTTATTTCAAAATCTTACATAATTCAAAGGATTTTTATGGTCCCGCATTTTCCATTTTAAATTTCAGTGGATAATTTGAAGTGGCGGGTAGCACCAGTCCAATTAATTCAAAAGCTTTGGGTGGCATGTGCCGATTCCCGATCCCAATTTCGCCGCAAACCCGCTGAAACTGCAGTCCTTGAGAGCCAGAAAGTGATGCAGCACAGCGATACTAATGAGTGACAGATTAAACATGCTAGCCATGCTTCTGCCAATACACTAAAATAAAAAATTAAAAATAAGGCGGCTACGTGATCGCCTTCATTGTGCACCTGCGAAAAGACATCCTTCACTGCACCACAGTGGTGACATGTGAGCAGCACGTCGTATGCTTCTCGCTACGTCAGGGCATCATGATTTCCCCATTTGTTCCGATAACATAAGGAAATTAATAAAGGGCAGTCTAATGGAATTCTGGATGTATGCAAACTTTCAATTGGCAGTTGCTCCAGCCATTTGCACACTTGCACTACTGGCAGAGTTCCTGCCTGCAATGCCTACTTTGAAAAGTCAGTTCGAAAACTTCAATGATCATATTTTCCTGCCAAAAACACATTGCAAATTCTGTCACGCTGGCCGTTAAGTTCTTTTGTTTTACCAGAAAGAATGGGCAAATAGTCGTGTGCTGAAGTTCTGGCGCGGCGAGGAGCAAGTAACCTGCTGCCCGTGTGTCATCACTGTGTTGCAGCGAAGCATGTCTTCTTTTCCACAGGCGCACATTTTATTTTACCTTGAAACTTTTTTTTTTTTTTTTTACTGGCAGCACGGTGCTCGTCGTTCATTTGTGTTCGCAGCAAAACTGGGCCCAGGTATTGACAGAAAGCATAACCCTCAGTGCTGCAAACTAGCCGGTGCAGCTAACGACCACTTCTGATTACTTTCAACAAATTAAAGTTCTCTGCATCCTAGTTTTTTAATGTTTCGTTAATTTGAAAACCCACTTAATTCAAAGTTCAAAGATTTTTTTACAGTCCCAGTGACTTCATATTAACGAGTTTTCAGTATAATTTTCCAGATATCCAACATAGAAGAGATAATGCCAATTACTTGAATCCTTTGTTAGAAGAACTTGTTATTGGGCGATTAGAAGCATGTCTTGGCATGTCTCATTGTAGGAAATGTACAAAAGATCAGACAAATACAGGAAAAGCAAAGTACATAAAAATAGTGCTAATTATCCAATGGTTTATTCATTGAAACAGCTTAATATAAACTTCTTCATACATCAAAGGGAAAGGAATAAACGAGAAAGTACAAACAAATTTACGCACACCTTATGTCAAGCAAACCAGCACAGGAAATTTCCCTGTGTTTTACATAGGTTAACCGAAATGTCGCTTAAGCAGTGCTACTACATACGCAAGACATACTTGCAGAATTCAAGTACAATAATACTTAAATCCTACAATCTCAATGAACCTTTTTATAAGGATATGTAACTGTCTCACAGAGCACAAATGACATACTGTCAGTGGTCCTGTTAAGTTGTGACAGTGCATGAAATGTTACACGAGAAGCGTGATGAAATAATGAAGCACAATGTCTTCATTTTCATAAAAATAAAGCCAAGACACGTGTGCCGCTTCAATACTTACAAAAAGCTACAAAAGATTAAAATGATAATTACATATAAAAAACAATGATCACAGTAAAAAAAACAAGATATACATGAGATAATTGTTTTTTAATCTTTTGTAACCTTATGTAATCTTTGTAGGAGTACACGTTTTTTGGTGGTTTGTGATTCTCTCTTAAATGAAATTATTGCTTAACTAGAACAGCTGTCTCTAATAATGATTGGCTTTGTACTTGAATTCTGTACCCCTGTTTATCTATCAGTAAATAGAACTCCAGTTAAACAAAACAAATTTTTCTGGTCCTTTCAGGTTTCAGTCTACTGTATTATTTGGTCATAGTTTAAATAGTGACTGTTCTTTCCAATAACTTTTGTTGTGAGAAGGCACTGTGTGGTGTGTAATACTTCTTGTGTACTCGATTTTGTACTGCCCATTAAGAAAATACATAAGGTACAACAGAGCTATTTAATGAACTTTCATTGTTACAAACTTTTGCCTGAAGTTCAAAAAAGTCTTCTAAGTGAAGTTTCACTCTCTTACTATGTGTGTGTGCATGCTCGCACGTGAATGTGTCAAGGAAGTGAGGAGACACATTTTAGTCGTTATTTCATTCGACTTCCCAGTGGTTTCAACTGGTGTACCGGTCTTCGTCAGCTGTTAAGAGAAAGCGCTGATGAATACCAGCTGACCAGTTCTAAGTGTGGCCAAATAAAGTCAATACTATAACAACTAAGCTGTGTCTCTTCTCTCCCAAGTATGCCTGGCCCAATGAAAACACCTTTACAGTTCATTTGTACATATACGGAGTGCCCCAGCGAAAGAGAAAATAAAAAAATATGTTGATGCACTCTATGACGACGCAAATATATGCATGTTGCTGTCTACTGCACAAAGTATGTCACACTATTTCCTTAGTTCTGCTTTAAATGATTAATTATTTAGGATTGATTACCAACTATAAAGCGACAAAGCTGGGCAGAAAATTCAAATCAGAAAGTTGAGATTGGTCTGCAAATGGTTCTATTAGAGTTTCTAACCTTCTATCCATTGAGTATTAGTGTTTTTCTGCTCACTATACATTCTTGTGAGATGAAAGAAAAGACTACTTTACATGCCCGCTTGCACGTCTGTGTGCCAAGACTGTAGTGCTCAATGATGTTCCGTGTAGAAACAATATGCTTACCCTATGGCACATCATGACAGTGATGAGCAGACGTGGTGGTTATCGCTTGTGCTGCCATTAAGAAACCGTGTGCCATCGCAAAGCCGCCATTATCGCTGCCCTGTCTCCTTTTAAGCGGCACCATACTCAGTCAAGTGCTACAATCATTGGCATGCGAAACCTTAGGGAGCACTGCAATCTAGGTGCACAAGAGGACATGTCATGTGTCACATGAGTTGGAGCAGCTTTTGTGCTCCACACATTTATCCATTAAACTACAGTGGCCATGCATTCACAGAACATGCCTTGAAGTCTATGTTCTGGAGAATCGTCTCGCAGAGTACAAGCACATGCTAAGAAAGTGTTGCATGTAACAAAACCACCAGGACTGAAATGCTCAAAATTTATTTCGAAGCTGACCATCATCAACCCTATAAGGAGAATTAAGACACACAAGAGACAGACACCACTTGCATAGCACAAGGCTGCCACCTTGTGCACTGAAAGCCATAGACACAATCATTACCACTTGTGCGTAGAACCATGATAGTAGTCAATAACCTCTTACCTGTAGCTGCTTGCTTTTCAAATCCCATAAAAGCAGCTTTCCTGGGGCTGGTGTAGTTGTCACCACAGGGGGCTCGGAGTGCAGCGAACTCACCACAACTGGTTCCACTGGACTGCATGCTAGGCAAGCAACACTATGGACAGAAAAAATTTGTCAGAGTTTCCTTGTTATACATGTAAAAATAAATTCTAAACACATAGTTAAACTGCCAAAGTTTTCCGACTCCAGAAGAAACATCATAAGTACTGCGTATAAACTTTCCATACCCTAATTATGGTGGCTAGGTAATACTAGTATAACTGGAATATTTCTGAAGATAATAATATTATACAAGTTTAACACCTTAAAACCATGATATGATTATGAGAGATCCCATATTAAAGGGCCCAGGAAGTTTTGACCACCTGGTGTTGCTGAACATGCACTGACATCACACAGTACACGGGCCTCTACTATTTCGCCTCAATCGAAATGTGACTGCCGTGGCCAAGATCAAACTCGTGATTCTGAACGATAACATCAAAGCAGAAATTTCAAGCACTTGCTGAGAAGAGATTTAATTAGAGCAGTGCAAATAGCAAAATATTGGGTATGAACTTCATTCAAATCTTGAAGTATAAGTGTGAATTGAATCGAATATTTTTCGAATATTTCTATAATATCTTTCAAACACTTTGAAGCGGAATTCCAGAAAAACAGGTTGGAGTGGGTTTTTCAGAATATTTTTACCATATAGCAACATAAAAATGTTTCCTTTCGCTCAGTTGATAAAGCACTGGTAAGGTGGTGTTTCATACAGTCAAACCTGGATATACAGTGGACTCCCATTAAACGAAACTCGGTTAAACGGAAAAGCCGCGCAACCGAAACTATCTAGGCACATTTGGTTGGTCTCCTACATATTTAATGATAAAAAGTTTCGGGTAATCTGAACATTTTTTTACCTTACACCGGTTAAATGAAACTGAAACGGGCAAAATGCATGAACGGCAAAAGTGGCCACGGCTGTCTAGCAACCACAAAACAAATGCCAAAGCTAGCCTAGGCAAGGCAATCCAGTGATTGCACGTGTCTGCACGCCGAGCAGCAATCGACATCTCGTCGTGAAGGACAGTCTTGAGGGACCTATACCTGAAGTTCAAGATGAGGATCCGTGCTGCAGGGATAACGAGATGGTGTGTGATCCAGAGCCCGTTTTAGTGGCTGACAGTGCACCAAGAGATACTGTCATCTTGTTGCAGCGCTACTTTGAACACGATGGTGGCACAGGTTCCTGCCCAACCTTTCAGCAAGGTGCTCCTACAGTGTGAGCAAGTGCTTGAACAAGGTCAAGCAAATTTTTATCACCTCCTTTTTTCTGAGTCAGCAATAATGCAAACATTTTTCTTTTTAATACTATAGTAGCATTGTATACTTCAAAATGTTTTGTTCAGTTAGCCACAGTTGGTGTTTCTGAAATAAAGTCATACTTCATTCATTTTGTGGGCTTTGCCTAAATGAAACTTTGTCGCATATCTGTACACGCGCGCTTGTGCGATACACTATCACGCGGCCCATATCGCAACACCCTCGCCCACGATGTGAATAAAAGCGCTTGAAACCTTTTTTCCTGAAACCTTTTTCCTAAAACCTGAAACCTTTTTTCTGCAGGAAACTAGAGCTTTCTTTATATCAAGGTTGTGTCATGCTGGGAATGCGTGTGGTGGTACCAGAAAGATTCCGTAAATTTGTCCTAGATGAATTACATGAGGGGCATCCGGGAGTGGTGCGCACAAAAGAGCTTGCAAGAAGCTATGTGTGGTGGCCAAATATCGATCATGACATAGAGATGTGTGTCGGCTCTTGTCACGCGTGCGCAGAGACGCGCAGTTTGCCAGTGAAAGTGCCGCTCCATCCATGGCCCTGGCCGACGCGTCCTTGGCAACGCCTACACATGGACTTTGCAGGTCCAATAAAAGGTATATCATACTTAGTAGTAGTTTACGCCCATTCCAAGTCGCCAGAAGTATGTTCCATGACCACCACTACTTCAGAGGCAACCATTGCTTGCATTCATGAACTTTTCTGCAGATTTGGATTTCCAGAAACACTCGTGTCTGACAACGAAAGCCAGTTCATTTCTGCAGAGTTCCAAGCCTACCTCAAGCACAGGGGCATCCGGCATGTGAGAACCGCACCGTATCACCCAAGTAGCAACGGACTGGCTGAACGTTTTGTTCAGACTTTGAAGTCAGCGCTCCGCAAGACCAGTCCGAGGAGCGCCAGTGAGGAGTTAGTCGACTTCCTTCTGGCGTATCGTAATACGCCTCATGCTACGAAACAGACTAGACCTGTTACGACCAGCAGTTGAGAACAGAGTGCGCCAGCGCCAGTTCGACCAGACAAGGCGTCACCCATGTCGCAACAACGTCATCACTGTTGGTGATGCCGTTCGTGTGCGCAATGTCCAATCGGGACCAAAGTCGCTGTGTGCAACAGTTTTTGCCCGTACGGGACCAGTGTCATAACGGTTAAGTGTAGTGACTCCTCGTGGTGTGTTCCAGTGGGTGCGTCACCAAAATCACATCCGCAACGATAACACCGGCATCGCCACGGAGTTCGAACTACCCTTCAGTGAAAGGCAGCAAGAAGTTGCCACACAGGTCCCGACCTGCGACTCATCACATGACGTCGACAGCTCGCTCACCGCACAAAGTGAACCGGGGGACACTGCAAACGCTCCTAGCGAACGTCACTACCCGCAGAGACAGCGTCGCCCACCTGATCGCTTTGTGCCGTAAACTTCTTGGACAATGCTTGGGGATCCAAATAAGTGTGGGGGGATGTCGCATATCTGTACACGCGCGCTTGTGCGATACACTGTCACGCGGCCCATATCGCAACACCCTCGCCCACGATATGAATAAAGCGCTTGGCGCGCGGTGGGCCGGGGGCACTTTCCTTCGGCACTCTTGGTTATCGCTATGTTGCTGGCATGCGAATAAAGCATGTTTGAGTACTGGCGGCGTCTTCATACCCGGAAGCCCTGGAACACGACAAACTTCTTATAAATGGAACAAATTTTCTTGCCCCTTCGAGTTCCGTTTAAGAGGAGTCCACTGTAACAAAATTTCCCGGAAAAATTTGTTTTAGAAATAATTTCGTTATATAGAGGTTTGGTACAAAAATTCATAAAATAAACACACAAATCAAACAAAACAGGGACTGAAGGCAGAGCTAACCCAAAGCACTTATTTAGCACTAAAAAACTGCGTTATTCTTGCAATAGTAAGTGTATAAACATTCTCGGTGGGTTTTGCTCTCGACGCCATGTTTAGTAACAAGTCTAAATTGATATCATGCTCCCACGCATCGTAATTTTCTCAAGCGGGTAAAAGCGCGCAAGCGCTGCCAAAGCTCAGATCAAATGAGCCAGCCCATCTCTATCGCCTGGAAGGCGCATAAGATAACATCACTGGCATGTTAGAACTGCTGTCATATGCTCTAACAGAAAAAAAACCACCCGTTTTCAATGAGCATGAAAAAGAGCGGGGGCAGGGGGGGTGCAGCAACAATGTATTTTGATTTTAAAAGCAGTTGCGATCGCTGGCGTGTGTGCAATCTCGGCAAGTATCAGCTGTGTGCTTTCAATGCGAAAGGACTGTGTGGAAAGAGCACTTTTCCCTGGAGTGGCCGTATTTGCTCACAACAATGTTTTGTAGGAGTTCTGCGATATTTGATTCAAAAGAGTTGGCTGCAGCCTTACTTCGTATTACATTACAGTTTTTTGCTGCCTCATTTATTGTATTGCATTCAACGCGCCATCGTGTTGTTTCCGGAACTTATCGGCTAATCACCAAAGCTACGAGCCAGTGAACTCGCGGCGAGGCGCAAGACGAAATCGCGTGATGAATCAACCTTCGTAGATCCGTCGTCACCGTGGTCTTGCAGTGTTTCCATCAGCGCCTAATCTGACATCCCCTCGGTCGTGACGACACTGTTGTCTGCATTCAAAAAAAAAAAAGCAAAGCATAACATCGTCGGGGGCCAAACCATGGGCGCACAGAAACGAAGAAACGAAGAGCGAACGACACGGATACTGTGGAAAACTTTTTTCAGTAAAAAGCCCTCCATAAGCAGAGCGGCCCCACATATGTGACGCTAACTAAAAGTGTAGCACTGCCAACGCAAAGGTATATTTTTTTGTTTTTGGTTTGGAGGAGGGAGGCACATTCGTGCATGCTTTCATGGCGGCAACGACGGCTCGTGGGGCGCAGGCCCGCTCGCCCACCTCGCACAATAATGAGTGCTTGCTCTCACCTAGTGCGCCGTGTGCGCCGCCACCACTTCATGCTAACCATGGAATGAAGTAACTATGGAATGAATTCACTAAACGAGCTTATTGCCTCACAAACTCAAAGCCGCAAGAATTTTAAGAATCCGTGCAGTGCGAGCTACAAAGATTTGTTGCATGCTGCAATTGTATTCTCTCTTCTCTCGTCCCAACAAAAGCACTGGAAGCTAAGCAAGGAGGGATGGCAGAGGCAAAGAAAGTACGTCATCTGCGCCTCGTGACCTTGAGCCGATTTTTTTTTCTTCAAATGTGCGGCTGCTTCAGTGTGAACGCACGCGTGGACAAGTCAAGGCCTTCCGCGGCGATTTCTGTAACGACCAAGCGCACCATGTTAAAATCAGCCATTGGCTGATAGATGGGTTCCTACAAGTGATTTTTGAGCATCTTCCATTATTTGTGAGAGAAGAGAAAGCAATTTTTAGCTGACTGACAACTTATTGTGAATTCCAGGCCGCGTGCTGCGCTATTTCATTTGGCTCGCGTGTTGTTGGGAGCCTCTACTACCAATCGGCAGCGTTTACTGACCATTCTCAAAAAGTGTTGCAGGGCCCCTTTAATAAGACATTGACTGTGCATGTGAGAAATTCGACTGTAGAAGGGCTTAAAAGGCAGTTTTGCCCCAATACAGAAATATAATGAGGAGAAGCACATTAAAAACCTGAAGGGATCATTTTTAATTGAACGTTGATTGTATTTGTTTTTAGGAAGTTCAAATAGTAAAATTTGCATTGCCAATTGAATCGAATAGCAAACATTCAAAAAATATTCGAATATTCACACAACCCTAGATTTATTGCTTT